TCACCCCAGGGCAGGGCTGCAAGGCCCTGGGGACCAGTACCCTGCCCTGTGTCTAGGATGCTGGACTTGGAGTTTGGAGATCTAGTGTCTTCTTTGCTTGTTTTCAGACTTGCTCTGGTTATGGGAGCCCTTTATACTTGCTCTTCCTCCTTTTTGCCACAGTAATATTTGCCCTGGGCCTGTTTCAAGGCTGTATCCTGAAACCATGTAACTTGTTGGAAGTCATTTGCCTTGAGTTTCAGATGGGACTTGGGACTTTACACTTTGGAGACATGCTGGCAAGGTTTCAGCCTTTGAGGACTGTAGGCATGGAATGATTGCATTATGCATTGAAAGAAGGATGTGAACCTTGGGGGACAGGGGCAGAATGGTATGGTTTGGATATGGTTTGCCCCACAAAGATTGCTATCATGGATGACTGGTCCCCAGTGAGGTGGTACCTTTCAGAAGTAGAACCTAGAGATTTGCTCAGGACTGCCCTGTGAAGAGACTAATGCTAGTCTTTCAAGTGGATTAATTCTCACAGAAGGGGATTAATTCCTTTAAGATGAGTATGCATTTTTCTAAAAGACTAAGTCTGGGGCTGGGGTTGTGGCTCAGTGTTAGAGCGCCTGACTAGCTTGTGGGAGGCACTGGGTTCCATTCACACCATCACATATAAACAAACAAATTACAGTCCATCAATAACTAATAAATTTTTTTTAAAAGGCAAGTCTTCCTCTTCACTGTCTATTGCTGCCTCTCTCACCATGTGATCTGTCTTCCACAAAGTCCTACGATGTCATGCCATTACAAAGTTATGACATAGCCAAAAGTCCTTAACCAAGATCGAACCACAGAGCATCACCTGGGCAGAGGTAAGTAAATCTATTTTCTTTATACATCACCCAGTGTCAGGTCAGTTTTATTGTTTTAGCACCCCAAAATGAACTGGGATATGTTCCAAGTCAAAAGGCACACGCATGTCTGTAATCTCAGCGACTCAGGAGGCTGAGGCCAGCCTCAGCAAATTAGCAAGGCCCTAAGCAACTTAGTGAGATGCTTTATCAAAATGCAATGAAAAGGGCTGGGGAACATGGCTCAGTGGTAAAGCAATCTGGGGTTTCACTTAGTACCAATAAGTTTTGGGGGCCGGTACAGTACACTCCATTTCCCAGCCTGTTGGCTGCCAACACAGAATTCCTTACTGGGGGAAATTTCTTTTCATGTAATGTACACAGACAGCATCCCAGATGCCTCAGGTTTGTATTGTGACAGTCATGGACAAAGTCTGCTAAAATGTCCCTGAACTTGTTAAGTCAACAGCACATCATCCTTTCCACTCGATGGTGGAGGAAGCTGCACCATGTAAGAGTGTGAGGTGCCTCCTGTGTTAGGAAGAGGAAAGCCTGGTGCCCCAGAGGGTGAGCTGTGGTCATGGAGATGGAAACCAGGCATGAGAAAGAAATCTCTCTCTCTCTCTCTCTCTCTCTCTCTGTGTCTCTCTCTTTCTCTCTCTGTCTCTGTCTCTCTCTCTGTCTCTCTGTCTCTCTCTCTCTCTCTCTCTCTCTCTCTCTCACACACACACACACACACACACACACACACACACAATGTCCTGGGAATTGTGTGTAAGACCCTGTGAAGGAGTCAGGACTGGTCGGGACAGAAGAGGGTGGAACCCAAATGATCAGTTGTGACTTATAATGAATATTTCTGCTGGGTGAAGCCAAGACAATATTTATAATGGCAGCCAAGAGTGAAATTGAGCAGCTCTCCTTGTCTAGAAAGTCCTAGTGACTTTTGAGAGGAGCCTAGTCAACAGCAGGGAGATGGGAAAGACCCTCTGTGGGTGCGCCATGGGGAGAGGTGAGTGTGGACTCCTCCTGGGCAGAGTGGGGAGGAGTAGCAGGAGATAAGTGGGGCCCACAGTAGAAGGCCATAAGGGAGAGGATCAAGGGCCAAGGACAGCCCAGGCATCCTGCCAACCTTGCCTAACTTCTGATAGGGCCTGGATGCTGCCTGTAGGCTCAGAGCCCCATCACCTTTGCCCTAATGGCCAAGCCATACCTTTTTAGTTCAGGTGCATAAAGTGAAAGAAATCCAGTGACATCCTAGATCCCCTGTAGGACACAGTGCCTGGGGCCTTCTGTATTTCCCCCAAAGACAAGTAATCTTGCCTGGAGCCCCTTTGAGAGGGCCAGGTCACCCTCTGGCCAAAGGCATGACCTAGAGTCAAATGGCAGCAGGAAGGGGTTCCTAAGTGCCTGTTTTTCCCATTGGCAGCTGGAGCTCCAGCACAGCCAGCACTCAGTGTCCTGAAAGCCCGTCCAGAGACAGGGAAGGTGGCCCTGCTCTTCTGGGTTCCTCAGTCTCCCCTCATACCCTGCCTTCTCCTTGGTGCTGGTGACATTAGGAAATCTGACCCTGTCCGCACTTCAAGGGAGCCACCCTGGGCATTTGGGGGAGCCCAGTGTGGCTGTACATTCCCCTCTGTCCTCTATCATTTTACCAGGTCCCCCCTCCCAAGCGCCTACCCTTAGGCAACCTCAGTCTCTAACTCAGCTGAAATTGAGACTGGGTCCCCACAACCCCATACTGGAGCCTTATACTGACTATGGAGGAGGAACAGCAGGACCCCACTGGCCATGATGCTCAGCTATCCATGAAGTCTGTAGAGCCACATGGTCTGCTCCCAGGGCTGTTTCTGTGCTGTTGTGGTAGCTCTGCTTCAGATGGGCGCACAGAAAAGGACCTGGGCCCAGGTAAAGTTTGGACCTTACAGGGAGGAGGCACAGCAATGAGTGATATCCTGCGACCTGGGCACTGTGGGAGAGCTATTCTTGACACGCAGAGGTCCCAGAGCCAGTGGGTACTGGGCAGGACAAAGGCTGTGCCCTTCTGAGCTGATCTGAGATCTCAGGAACCCACTGCTCACCCCTAGAGTCACTAGTTTACTATCCCAGCAGCCACTGGCTCTTTTATTCTAGTTTTGTTGCATTGTCACCAAAAGACATGACAAGAACAACATAGAAAAGGAAAAGCTCATTTGGGGCTCATGGTTTCAGAGGGCTCATTCCAAAGAAAGCAGGTCCATTGCTTAGGTCTCAAGGAGAGGCTGAATTTCACGGTGGAAGGGTGTAGTGGAGGAAAGCTGCACAAGACATCATACCAGGAAGCAGAGACAGAGTGAGCTCCACTCAACAAAGACAAATACATACCCCAGAGTCACGCCCCAGTGATCACCTAATCCAGCTCCATCCTCTATTACTACAGTTACCATCCATTGAAGCCTCATCAGGGGATTAATTCAATGATTGGTCTCATAACCCAATCTTGTCACCCCTAAACTTTGGAGTATTGTCTCACACATGAGCTTTGGGGGACATCTCCTCTCTAAACCATAACAGTGGCCCATGAGGGTGTTGGGGTGGAGAAGAGGGAGCAGTGAGCATAATTGAAGGATCCAGGAGGGCTTCTCTGAGGGGACACAAAATGAAGATCCCCCACAGATGAGAAATGATGACCTAGGGGGATGAAGGGGACTGTCTGAGCAAACTGGCAAGTGTGACTGTGCCCTTGGTCCTGGGAAGTCCTTCTTCCTCTCAGCCTTCATAGTTTCCTAAGTTCCCTCCAAGGTCCTTTTAGTCCTGGTCTGAGGGTCTGTGTAAACCTGTCCCTATTTGGTCCTGGCTGTTGTATTGAAATATACTGGTGACTGTAATTCTGACAATTCTTAGGAACCCACCCTTTTCCACTGTCTCTCCCCCTACCCTGAGTCTTCCCCTGAAGACAGCTCCCTCTGAGGTTGAGTTTACTGTTATTTATGCACCTGATAAACATTCTGAGGACTTTCTGGTTCTAGCACTGTGGACCTGGAAAGGCTCTTTTGGGCATCTGGGGCCGCTGGGGACACAGGCCCATAACCAGGAGATGTCAAATCTTCTAGAATCCTGCAAGGACATAGGGAATACAGCAGGAGACAGGAGTGCCTGCTCTGCCTGACTTCCTGGAGGAAGGGGTGTGGGCTCCACCTCAGATGACCTTCAGTACCTTCTCCTAACAGGCCTTGGCTTCTTCATTCTAGCCTGGGTTCATTCCTGCACACCAGGATAGCAAGTGTCTTTACTGGTGTCTTTCTAGGGGTGACAATATTTTCAGGTGGCTGTGTCCTGGGCTTCTCCTTGACTTCTACCTAAACAGCAAGGTCTGTTGTTGATTCAAAGTTTTCCATCAATGCACTGTGGTCCAAGCCACTGTCCCAGCTCCCATCCAGGCCGACACTCTCTCTGTATTCCCCTGACCTAGTTCATAGCTGGGGCTGTGGAGGTTGAGATATTCTAGCTCCTCCCGTTCATAGCCATGTTATAAGCTCCTTTGTGTGTCATCTAGAAACCAACCCAAGACCGCCCCAGATAACAAATCTGCTAACACTTGATTCTGGATTTTTCACCTGCAAATCAGAAGACAACACAATTGCATTGTTAATGAGCTCCCAGTTTATTGTGTTTATTTGTTGATATTTTGGTGGTAGCACTGTGATCAAACCCAGGACCTTGTGCATGCTTAGCAAGTACTCCACCACTGAGCTACTCTCCCGGGACTTGTTAGTTTATTTTGCGCTCAGCTCTCCACAAGTGGCCAGCCTGGGCTGGATATGTACTTCTTTTCTCTCAGCCTCCTGAGTGGCTTGGATCATGGGCATGTGCCTCCCTGCTCACGCTAGAGTATCATTGGAGTTGTTGTTGTTGCTGTTGTTATTGTTGTCACAGCAGCCTGATGGAGTAAAACCCTGGGGTTTGTGGTGTCCAGGTTTTCTAAAGAGGCCCCACAGGTAGGAGAACATGGGGTACTTGCTGAGAGATGGGCAAGAGGTTCAGAAAAGTACCAGCTCTGCTTCCTAAAACTTCTGTCAGCATGGGAGGGTGTGGCAACTGGGAGGAGGGGATAGATGGGGTTGTATCCATCTAGGAGAGGGGAGGAAGGAAGGGAGGGACTCAGGCACAGTGGGGTAAGGAGGAAGGTGGGCATGCATTGGGAATTACTGAGTGTGTCAAACAAGAGAGGATCCATGGTGGAGTGTATGGACGGATAGCTATGTGGATGAGTGGGTCAACCATGGTTCTTGGGAGGGCATGTTTGGGCACCACAGGAAGACCCCATCACACCTAGCACACCCCTCTGTTCCTGACAAGGAAGCTAGTGTTCTGTGTGCTTGTCCTCAGCCTCCTTTAGCTCCTGGATCTTCTGAGGCAGGGTCTTGGTCCAGAACTGCAGTCTGTGTGCCTTCAGGGCCTGGCCCACAGCAGGCTGGATGTCCAGCTGCAGGTACTCCTGGTCCTTGTCCAACAGTGGCCAGTGTGGTAGGCCCTCTCCGTTGGGGTTCCTGTGCACAAACCCTCCCCGCAGGGCAGGGCAAGGGTCAGTCTGAGATCCTTTAAATTCAGCCCTGACCTTCCATCCCAATTATAGTCAGGCTAGGCATCCAGACAGACAGGGGTGCTGAGAGTGGGGAAAGGGGTCCTGATGTAGGAAATTGACCTCTCACTTGTGTCATTCCACACAGGGCAGAGCAACCTGGCCTGTGTTGCCCTTCCCTGTTAGAAGCTGGCTCCGATGGTAGCCCAGCACAATGGCTCACCCTCTGGACCACTGTGAGAAGGGACCAGTGTCCTCTACCCAAAAAACAACCTCTGTCTCTGTGGGTCATCCTGTTGGGTATGGGGCTAGGATGTGATGAAGGAGACACAATAGCTAATGGGGTCACCTTAGATAAGGGGAGCAGTGGAGGGCCTGGGCCCCCTGGGAGGCTGCAGTGTTCAGGTGTCCTCACCCATTTCGAGCAAAGTTGGCCCAGTACTTCATCATCCTCCTGTTCAGCAGCTTCTCCTTCTCAGTGAGCCAAACTGTGGGAGGGGGAAGGCAAGGGTCCAGGTCCTGGCCAGCCCCATCCAGCTGTCCACTCCTGTGCCACACTCACCACCCCAGTCCCAGGCTTGTGTCCCTTCCCTATCACAACAGTCCTGGGGCCAGGCCCTCTGCTTGCCCAACCTGCCTTTACTACTCCCAGCCTTTAACTGAATCAACACTGGGCTCCTCCTTGGGCTAGCAGTTTCCTTATTTGGACACTGTGAAGTCATTTAAGAAATGATGGGGCTTTTATCCTACCCCTATTCTTTTATGCAACATACCACAGTTAGGGTGGGAACACGTAGAAGGTGAATAGAGTAGAGTGGGAAAGGTCTAACCCTGGAATGACCCATTGAGTTGTAAGATGGTAGACACTGGATCCCATGTTCTCTCTCAGCCCCAGTTTCTCATTGTATCATGAAAGTGATTGTCACCCTGTAGTCATGAGAATACTCCTGTGGAACAAGGAGAACTCACCTCTGATGCCATTAATGAAGGATCCAAAGACAAAGACTAACTCATCACCATGGTCAGACTTCACATGTGGAGGCCTTATGTACTTAATGAAGGTGGGCTGATGCTGGAACTCATAGAAGTAGACAGGAGCATGGGAACCTGGAGGGTGGACAGAATGTGTCACTCTTGGTGACAAGATTGCTAGTTCCAGCACTGTTTGAATCTTCATAGTGGCTTGGAAGCCCAGAATGTGTCAGGGTGTTGTTGGAAGGCTCTTTGTTAAGTCATATCTTGGACTTCTTGACCATGTGGTCACAAGCAAACCCTTGAGTGCCACTACCTTAGTTCTTTCCTCTGTAAAATGTGTGTGATGTCTATCTCTTACTCTAGCCATAAGAATTTACTGAGATGAGGGCCTTCAGGTACCCGGGAACAGGGTCTAGATAAAGACATGTGTCAGGACCTGACACCAGACCTCACCTGGGACCCACAGCTCTGAGCTGATTCCTAGGAAGTCAGGATTCAGGTTCAGACACACTCACTCTGATCAAGTGCTACTTGGAGTGCAGGCATCACAAACATGAAGTCTGCCATCATCTCCTGGAACTGGATTCGGAGGGTGTGGGGGTCCTCGTTGTCTCCCATGTACTCCTCCATCAACAGGTCAGCACATTTGGCAGAGAACTTGGTCTATTCCAGGTGATCAGGGAGAGTCATGTTAGGCAATCTCTGTGGCAGGGAGGCAGGATCAAGATCTAGAGGGTAGGTATTGGGGTTTGGGATGTGTCAGGGAAGAGGGCAATGGTGTCAAGCTGTGTGGTGGACTCACTCACAAATGCACATAGAATAATCTTTGTTCATGGGGATTACTGAAAAGGAAGAGTGTCTGGCTGCACTCTGCCTGGTGCAGGACCCCAGGAGTCTCACCATCTGTGCTGATATTCTCTGCAGAACAGCTCGTGCAGTCTCTCTGTCTATGTCTTTCTGGATTTCAGGGGGGCCCAAGATCTGTGTGATGAAGAGATAGTCTAGAGTTGGGGGTGACATGACCAGGAGTTATGAAGTCTGAAGCTGCTCCCACCTGACACTCTTGTGTAGGTTTGAAGAGGGGACTCACCAAGGGAAGGACCCAGCCATACTCATCATTGTTGACACCAATGATGCTCGGAACAGGTTGAAAATCAGCAGAGGCCAGAATTTCCTTGGGGTGCCTGGGTAGGAAGGCCCCATCCACCACAGCAGGAATGATACTGAAAACCTAAGGGGACATTCAAGGTACATGATCACAGGAAGGAAAGTTTTTTTCTAATGACTTGAATTACCTCCCACTCATCCTAGTTCATGCATTGAATCTCAGACCAACATCCAGAGATTCTATAGCTGGTTTAGTATATTTTTGTCTCAAATCCAATCAAGGCAATGAGGATACAAGATGAAAAAGCCTTGGAAATGAGATCCTTGTTCCACAAGGAAAGCACTGGATTTTCTGTACACCATAACCCCTGTCTTGCACTAAAGTCCATTCATCCTACCTTGGTAATAGCCAGCATTTCCTGTTCACTCTTGCCCCGCAGGCAGCTCACCAGGGCCTCTGACTCTACTTGCCCACAGGCAGACAGGTTGGCCACCATCTGTAAATAAAGGGCAGTATTGCCTAAATCTCAGCTGTGTGCAGGTTACCCTTAATTCTCAAAGTGTACCCTGTTATACTGCTACAGATGTGAAATTCTTCCACCTTGCCTGAAGCTCAGGTGTCAGCCAGAGGCACCATCACACCTGCTTACATGGGTCTTCTGAGGATAAGGACCCCTGAGTACAGCTTTGCAAACCATAGAGCAAAATCAACCACTTGAGGCAGAGGTGTGTGGATTCTGACCTTTGAGCTTCTCTGAAACCCTGGAGTGGTGGCCAGTTCCGAAGACACCTGCATGGTCTTTGTTCTCAAGGAACAGACAGAGTGGCAGAGGCTCTGAAGTTCATGGGTGAGTCAACAGATTTGGCTTTGGGCAGTAAAGGATACTCACTGTGGATACATCCTTAGATGAGCTGCTGATGAGGCCAGGCAGCAGGGCCACCCCACTCTCCATGATGGCACCATGGAAGAGTCCTTGGGACATTGGAGACACCACATGTGAGGACACACTACTGCCACCTGCAGACTGGCCAAAAATGATGACCCGATCTGGGTTGCCTCCAAAGTGGGCGATATTCTGCTGGACCCAGCGTAGGGCGGCCACTTGGTCCAAGAAGCCCCAGTTGCCAGTGGCATGCTGGTCTCCAGTGCTGAGAAATGGAAACGATGATGATCATTGGATGGTCCTCTGTCTACTCAGCCCCACTGAACATCCCTTCCCAGGCTCACCTGAAGAAGCCCAGAACTCCCAGGCGGTACTGGATATTGACCACCAGTACATTTTCAGTGGCTGCCAAAATAGAACCATCAAGCATGGAACCTGAGCCCATAACCAAGGCACCACCATGGATCCAGACCATCACCTGGGAAATTAGGAGATATACCATGTATGGCCACCCTGCCCAACTCGATCCTGGCTGAAGCCTGAGTCTGAACACCACTTTGGCTTGTGTAGCTACCCACACAGAACACTAATAGGACCTTATGACCTAGGGTACTGGTGACAGAGTAAGTTCCATTTGGAAGATCAGGCCTCCCATATTTGGAGTCTAACCAGGAAGCAGAATGTGGATCTATTCCTCTCAGAATTACTCTGAAAGGAAAAGAAAATTGGTGTTTCTGTAATTATCCCACTTGATCATTAACTTAAAGTGTCATCTAATCTCTGGCCCAAAAAATCTACCATGGTCATGGAATTTAGTGATCTCAAGGTGCAGCTTTGGGCACCTGAATGGGATCTCCTGGGTAGAAGCTGGTGAGTTGATCAGTGGTCAGAACATTTGGCCTCTGAGAGCATCCAGGGCTCTTTGACTCCATGCCTAGGTCAGCTTCCTTCTTGGAGCTGATAGTGAGAAACTTTTCATGGTAGTTCACTCCACAGTGGTGGCCAGCTGAACCTGTGTCTTCCAGTGTCATTGGTATTGTTATGTAGTACTTGGGGTCAATCCCAGGCCTTCATAGCATTGTGCTAGCTCTATACCTTGAACCATGTCCCAAGCCTGTTTCTAAATATCTTCTAAAAGAAAAGTTCTCCCACCCTTCAACTGACCATGATTTGACACTCACAGGCAGGTTAGAGCCCTCATGGGCATGTGCAGGCGCGTAGATGCTGAGGTACAGGCAGTCCTCTGACATGGGGATGGGAGGCAAGATTTTACTCCCTAGGTTCAGAGCCTCTAGATTCAATGCATCTGCATTTTGCAGACACCTGGTGACAATGGAATACAGTTATTTCAGGGGCTGAGCAGTGGTCAATTCAGACCTCAGGTCCTGACTCGATCCCAGACAACCTCACTCCCTGCCTTAACTGATTCTTTGCCTCACATGATCCTTCTTTCAAGTCATTTCCTACTGAGTTCCAGGCCATGAGGATGGATTCCAGACCCCCAGGGAGGCCTCAAGGTTGTTGAGCACTTGATTCCACCTCCTCTGAGGCTGGGCAATCCTGACTCTAGGGCCCTTTCTGGGAAACTGGCTCTATGTGTTGACATTCACTTCTTAGCCCTGCCCCATTCAGGCCTGGAACAGCATAGGTGTCCCCACACAGGTGGTTCCTGAGTGGATGGAAGTTAGTTCTCACAGAAGGGTAATGGGGCATCCCACAGCCCAACTTGAGACTCTCTGAAAACCTCACCCCTCCACTGAGTCTCCAGCTGTAAGCACATGCCCCTTTCCCTTGGCCCTGTGGGTGGGGTCCACAAGGAGCCACCACTGTTGCCCTCCTCAGGGATCTGCAGCATCGACTGCTGGAGTCAAGGTCTTTTATAGGTTTAGAGAGCCAAGGCGATCCTCTCCCAGACACATTTCCCCTGGTGGGAGAGAACACCTGGAGTAAGCCAAATCCCGGGACATGTGTTTCTGCTCTTGTGTTTAGCACCTGGAGCTAATGACTTTGGGTTTCCAAGCCCTGAGGAAGGGGCCTGGCAGGTTTATTTCTGCATTAGAAAAATGAGTATGGGAATTGCCTCAATGCAGAGGGATATATTTTACATATGTATTTATTTAATGCCTGGGTTTCAAAACCGGTGCATTAGGTTGCTAAAAACACATTACCACTGATCTACAGCCCCAGGTCTATATCCCAGTTTAGATGAAGGAGCCACTGCAGCCTATTCTAGGGCTTGGATTCCCCCACTCCCAGTTGTGTGGTTTCCCAGATCCCAGGTAAGCTTACATGGCTGGGTGGGAGGTCCCATCCCTCACACCACTCCAAGGTTCAGGGGGCTCAGGGGCTGAAAAGCGCAGTGGTCCTACAGGTGGCTTGGCAAAGGGAATTCCCAGGAAGGTGTGGACCTCCGCATTGGTGCCCTTCACGTGGACAAGGCTGCCCCGCACCTGCCCGGTGTGGGTGGTCCGGATGGGGCTGACTGAGTCCTGGCCTGTGGGCAGAGAGATGCACTTCAGGCTCAGGTCTGCCCACTCAGCTGCTGACCTGCAGCACTGGGCCAGGTTGGTCCTCGTCAGCTCCGCCTTATGGAGGGAACCTGATCTGTCAACATTTGCTTCAGAAACTGTCTGCCCATCCCTAATCCCAATCTCTCCCATCACTATCACTCGACCAGCTCACAGCCTATCCTTCCAGGCTCACCAGGCTCTTGTGACTTGCCACCATCCTTCAGCCCTCGCATCTGCCAGCAGAATGTCTTTTGGGCTGATGGGGCAAGAGTGTCCATTGCACTCACTGTGCCAGGTCATGTGATGCACTAGGAGGACTGTGGGAATGGAACTAAAGTTTTCCATCCTCAAGGATCTCATGCTTGAGAAGACAAGAAATGACATTAAAAACATCATTCAGGAGACAATCTTTGCAAACCTCAGCACCACATTAATATAAAATAAAATATTGTGTCCACCTGTAACTAAAAAAAAGTATTTAAAAAAGAAAAATAGAATCTTTCAGTAAAGCTAGAAAAAGCTTTCTTCTGAGAGAATTCTGGATCTCTAAGGCCCCAGGTAAGGGAGGAAACCTGTCAGTGGTGATCCAATGGGGACAATGGAGCATGCATTTCTCAGTGCAGATTAGACTGCAAAGTTGGGACTATGTCCAACACCCACACTAGGAGTCTTTGGCATGGTGACCCTCCCTAAGCATGGTACTCTCATGCCAGCACCTTCTGATAAGGGACTAGAGATTTCTACCAGGTACAGACCCCAATACAAGGCATGCCAGCTCAGGTTCCTCAGTTAAGGGAACCCAGCAGTCACTCAGATCAGCGTTGAGAAGTGGTATCACGGGCTTCTGTATCCCCCAGGGCCAGTAACCTTGCCTGAGGATCCTACCGAAGGTGCCAGCACTTCTCTGGCCAAGGGGTCAACAGACTCAGAACCAAATGCAACCATCAAGCTCTTAAATTGCTGTTGTTATTATCCAAGGGTGAGTAGTAGCTACAGCCACAGACACACACAGGAGGGAAAGGTCCCCTATCCCTGTTCCTTAGCAAGGAGGCTTCTCATTTGCCCATACTGTGCTCCTCAGAATCCCCTCACACTAGCTCACGTGTCCTTGAGGGTGTCCTCTGTGAGCTCTGACCCTCTCTGGCTCTCCCTCCAGCCCCTCATCCCCTTCATCTGGCTCCTCTACCAACTCCCCCACCCTGGTGCCTTCCCTCCAGGCTCAGGCTCTGTCTCTCTGCACTTTGGCTGATCCAACCTGGTCTCTACCACCCTCCCCATGGCAGCCTCACCCTGGCCCTGGATGAGGAGCATCAGGAGCCCATAGGCCACGAGGATGAGCCAGGCAGGAAGTCGATGCAGGCACATGGTCGGCTCCCAGGGCTGCTTCTGTATTCCCAGGGCTTCACCTGGAAATGCAGAGCAGCATTCTGCCCAGGGGGTATTTGAACCTGACAGTGAGGAGGTGGGGAAATGGGAGGTGCCCTGCAAGGTGTGTGCTGCAGGAGAGTCACTCTGAACTCTCAGAGGTCATGGGGCCATTGTGCAGAGGGCAGGGCCCTACCCCTCTTCTGCCCTTGGCCACCTCCCAATGTGCCACACAGCCTCTGCAGCCCCTCTGAGATCCCAGGACCCTTCTCCTCACAACCTGGAGTCACTAATTCTCTGTCATTGCTGTCACATACCCATGAGGGTGTTGGGGAAGAGAGGAGGGAGCAGAGAACTGTATGTAACTGGAGGAACCTGGGGGGCTTCTCTGTGGGTGCAGAATGAAGATTTCCAGAGATGGAGAAATACAGGTGGCCTTGCTGGAGTGAGGGGAACTGGGCTTGCACCGTGGCAGGGACATGTGACTGTGACCTTCATAGCTGACTGGGTGCCCTTCAATAGTTCCTAATCTCTTATAGACCATGTTCTGAGATCCTCTGAGGGCCCCTCCCTTCTCAGTCTGGCCCTTCTTTGTGAAGGCATTTCTGTAGATACCCCATCAACACAAAACCAAGGTCCAGTTTACAGTCACTTATCCACTGGAAAGATGTGAAATGAGTGAACTTTTTTTCCAGACTGAGATTTGAACCCAGGAGAACTTTACTAGTGAACTGCATCTCTACTTCTATTCATTTTTAATTTTGAGACAGTATTGGCATGAGATCACTATTGGCATCAGATCTGCCATTTTAGGTCGGGAGCCATTTTATTCAGAGGCTCCCAGGCTTCAATTTAGGAGCCATTTTATCTAGGGACTCCAGGCTTCCATTCAGAATGTGCCTGCTAGAAGGTTCACCCCACCCCAGCCCATGACACAACCCCTAAGCATGCTTGTTGCTGCTGTCCCAGGAAGGACAGCCTTGTCAGTTTGCTCCATGCTACTGCCAACAAATCTCTTGTGAGGGATTCAGGACCCTCCCCAAACCCCAGAGGTTGACCCCCCCCCCATGGACCGCCTTCTTACCATTCTCCACCTTCTGCTCTGACCCCTCTGGGACCTCCCTCACCTACTTTCTGTCCACCTGCTACTCCTTCTTGCTTGGCGCCCTCGACCCAGCCTGCACCCTTGCTTCCCTTTTGAGAAGTTTCAGGGTCAGAGGGAGTTGTCCAGGTACATGTCCCTTTCTCCCTTAGTGGCCTCTCTCCAATGGAAAGGAGGCTAGGGTCCTTTACCTCCAATCCTTGAGGGTACAGTAAGGAATTCCAATACCTAACCCAATCATAAGATCCAACTTTTTATGATCGTATCCAATGTCTCCTACCTGTCTTTTACATGAACTCCTTCTATACTAAACCCAAACGCAAATTGTATGGTACCTTATGAATTACCAGGCAGTCATGTTTTCTAGGACAATTTAGTGTTTTTTTTCTTAAGTTCCATAATTTTGGAGCTCATGATTTTGATCCTACACATGCAGATTAATGTTTTTCTGATTAGTCCTATTTTTATTTAACTTTTTAAAACTCTTTAACATTGCAATGAAGAGTTGCCTACAAAAAGCTACACGGCCTTTGCTATTGTGTTATGTGTACACACTTGTGTTTTGTGTTGTATGTCTATGTGTGTGTACGTCCATATATCATGTACATGATATCCAAATTGGCAGATATAAAATGAGTGCTCATAAATTAATAGAAATGGATCCTTTAATTCACATGATTTAAGAAGGTTCAATCTCAATTGGGTCAACAGATGAAAGTAAAGATGTCTTTAGGATTATTTACCTCACAAGTCTCTCCAGGTGGTAAAAGAACTATTAAATATTAATGTCTATAGAATGTCTAATAACCATTGTTTCTAGGACTTTTCTTCAACAAGAGAGAAATGGCTAATACTGTTCAATACACTTGTCTGATATCTAGGTAAAAATAAGTAAATTATATTTGACATGGAATTATTCATAAATGTGTTTATTAGACAACTGATTAATTTATAAGGTTAAAATGCTGTTAAATATAACATGAGGTACTCTGAAGTTTTCATCAATTGATACATTTTAAAAAAGGCTAAGATTGCTTTTTTATCACTGAGAACAAGGTTACTAAGAATTTAAAGACCCAACAGATACAATTATATATACTTGAACATTATAATTTTATGAAATGGTAAACAAATGATTCTCTATAGAAAGACTTCCAAAAGTTTTAACTGTTTTTCAATTAGATTACTTTAAATAACAGAGTATTTCTTCTCATTAAAATGGATTAATCTGACTAAATTTAGAAATTTACAAGGATTGTTTCAAACAGTGAATAAAAAAGGGGTTAACAGTTGGGAAAGGAAAATTAGAAGGTTCTAGGCATGGAACCATATTTAATAGAAGGAAAAGAAAAATGATTATGGATAAAAAGACTTTATTTGAAGAAGTGAATAAGAGGGTCAAAATAAGTGATAAAGAGATCTGTACAGCTTGGATATATATATATATATATGGATAGATAGATAGATAGATAGATAGAAATATTTATTAATGTAATGATATAAATGAAAATTTAATCTATTAGTTAAAATGACAAGTATTTCTTAAATTGTTAATTTACCAATAACATTGTGTTTATTAAATTTTACTTATTAGAACAAATAATGAAAAGGAATTTAGGTTTATACAATTGTTAAACAACAACTGTTCCAATATCTAAATTTTCTTTAAAAGCTAAACTTGGTTAATATAAAAACATCAATGGAATTATGGTATTATTTCTATTCTTTGTATATTAATGTGTTCATATCTTCCAGGTATGCAAGTCTTTAAGATAGAGGGTGTAAAAGAACATTATATCAAGCTGGTCTTCTCCAAACTAAAGTAGTATGGTAATTTTAGATTCATAAGAATAACAAGTTGAACTGGGGATTTATTTATATCATTTATTGCTTTACAACAGGAACTGTTATCAGTAAGATAAGTAAAGCTTTATGTTCCTTTTTACAGTGGGATACAATTTAAATGTATTTTTAAGTTAATGAGTGCCTAATTTATTTAGAGGTTATTATTGTGAAACACCCAAGCATTTTGCTACTTTTCCACAGAAAAGCTAAAATCTCTCAGCCTTTCTTTAACTCATGTTTTAAATGTAATATCATTTTGTTAGGTGGGTTTGAGGTGATTAAGCAACCCGCCTGCATGTAAGAACCACCAATCAGGTGCATACAGAATTACCTATCAGCGGGGTCTCCTCATCAATCCTGGTTCTTAGCAAGATTCCTTGACCAATGGACCCCCAAAACCTCCTTTTCCTATCCCAAGCCCTTCTTTCCTGCCCTAAGCCCAATAAAAATTTCTAGCTGGTACAGTATCACTCGTTTCTCCTCCACCCGCCCTGTTGACCTGAGGGTCTCACTTAGGAGCAAAATCTCAATAAATCCTTCAGCAGCCTTTTCAATCTGCCTCCTTTGGTAGCTGCTGTCTGAATTTATATCTGAAGCTGAAATCTGGGAGGGATTTTCTGGCCTCTCCCTTAAGGGATTGAGATCCACTCTCCCCACTTCAAACACCACAAAATTCCTAAGCTGCTCCTTTCCCTCTCCCTTCATCCAGGCCAACAGGATTGGGGTAAGTTCCCTTGTTTTTCATGACCTACCAGTCCCTTTCTATCAGGGGAGGAATATCTGAAAGCCTGGGAGGGCCATAGACCACCACCAGATCCATTCAAGGCCCCAGGAACTGTAGAGACATCCCAGTTTTTGTGTGACGCCTTCCGATTCTTAGGCCCAAGGTGGTTGCAGGGACGCCCCAAACTTTTCTGTTCCTTGGGTGAGTGAAATCAGAATTTGGGACACATTTTCTGCTCTCACCCACCCCTGAGGGTTTCAGAAGGTCATGGGAAACACGGAGAACCCCTTAGACCCCAAATCTCCTTTGGGTTGTCTTTTGCCAAATTAGGACTCACTCAAGACCTATGCCAAAAAACCCTCATGTTACTCCACTGTGGCCTGGCTGCAGTGTGACTTAGACAGCGGGTCATAATGACCCCCAGAAGGAACTTTTGCTTTTAAATCCTCACTGAATTGGACAATTTCTGTCACTGGACAGGAAAGTGGGCAGAAGCCCCTTACATCTGGAGGCACATTCAGGCTTTGTGAGACTCTCTCCTGTCCTGCCTTCTGCTCTACCTGCTCTACTTCTCAAGTTTTCCTAGCTAGAGAAAATCCCTAACCCCTTTCCCATTGTTCTACAGCCCCTTCCTCATTCTCAGATCCACAGGAGCTGCTCTCAGCCCCACCTTCCTGTCTTCCCCCTCCCCTCCCACACTTGCACCCCTCCCCCTCCTGTTGCTACCACAGTTCCTCCTCCCCCACTCCAGGACCTCCCCCTCCATCCATCTCCCCCTCCTGTCCCTCCTCCTCTCCTGCAGCCATGGATCCTCCACCAAACACTTCTATTGATACAACCCTTCCTTGTCTTCCCACTCACTCTTCCCTTCCCCTGTCAGTACCCACACCTGGTCTCAACAGGCCTTCTCACCAGCTAACCCAAAGCTCCTTTGTCCTCTCACGGAAGTGGCAGGTACCAAAGGGATTGTCCAGTACATGTCCCATTATCACTTCAAGAACTTTCCCAGATTCAATAGCGCCTTGAGTTCTTTTTTGCTGACTTTTCTACTTATATTAAGGAACTCTGATAACTCTCTCAGAATTATGATTTTATGTGCATGACTTTATGTCAGTATTTCCTCCACCCTTACCTACCCTGGATGACCGAGCCAGCATCCAGAAGGCCAAATGCTGATCAAATTTGCCTAATAGATATGACTCTCCCCGCAGGTAAAACGCCACTCCCCTAACTGAAACCACCTGGGACTATCAAGATGGCCAACGAGGTCGCCGTTACTGCACTCACATGGTCCAATATCTTATACAGTCATGCATGCAGTTTCAATAAGGTGGTTAACTTTGATAAGCTGAGGCAAATCACCCAGGATCCAGATGACAATCCAG